GCACTGGGTGGGCTGTGTGTGTCGGGGCTGCAGGTGCTCTGGTGGGTACACAGTGTGTCTGGGGACGGGGGCCGTGCTGGGGTGGCAGGATCGTGTGGCTCCCCATCCTGAAGCCCGCCTGGTGTTACTGGTGGCCTCCCTGGTGGCACTGGAACTGGTGCCAGGGCACGCAGAGGGACAGGGGGGGTTCCTGCCCTTCACCTCGCCGCCTTCCCCTTCCAGTCGCTGTGTCGGTGCCAAAGAAGAAGCGAAAGATGAAGGAGCTGAACAAGAAGGAGGCAGTAGGCGATTTGCTGGATGCCTTTAAAGAGGTGAGTGTCTCCCCAGTGGTGTCCGGGGGTCACCCCCTGTCCCACCTCCTCCTGTGATGAACTCTGCTTTGAGCCATCGTGTCTGGGCCACTGAAGCTCCGTGATGGTACTGAGGATCTGAGGAGGGGGCTGGGGGACGCCTGGGTGGAGGGGGACGGGACGGGGCTGGCGGGGTGACTGTTGTCCCCGTGTCCCTCCCCGTGCAGTCTCAGATCAGTGACAGTGCCTCGGAGGCGGAGAACAAACCCCCCGCGTCCACCCCTGCCCGCCAAGCGGAGGAGGCGGCTCCTCCTCGTCCCCAGGAAGAGTCGGAGGAGACGTGGGAGGAGAAGGAGGACAAGCTGGCCCCGGAGAAGGGCAAGGCTGCTGACCAGAAGTACCGCTACAAGGAAGGTGAGCTCTGTGCGGTGCCTCCCCTGGGACCCACCACTCCTGGGAGGGTGGGGGTGACACAATCTGACTGTCCTAAACCTCACGCTCTCCTCCTGTCTCGTCCCCAAGCCTGGCACGAGGTGGGGGACAGAGGGTCCCGGCAGGAGGCAGGGACCTGGTGGCTTCAGGCTTTCTCTCTTTAGGAGCGTCGTGCTCCTGGTGTGTCAGGCTGGGGCAGCTCTGTGGTTGTCTCCGTCCCACCTTGCTGGTCCCTGGGTGGCCCAGGACCCGCCACAGCTCAGGGTGGGGAGTATGGGACGGGCCACATCAGGGTCTTCCTCTTGCCCCCCAACCTGCTGCAGAGCAATGGAAGCCGCTGAACCCTGAGGAGAAGAAGCGATACGACAGGGAGTTCCTGCTGGGCTTCCAGTTCATCTTTGCCAGCATGCAGAAACCCGAGGGGCTGCCCCAGATCACCGACGTGGTGCTGGACAAGGTCGGTGCGGCCCTGGAAATTAGGGGGGGCGGGGGGAGTCCTCTTTGTGCCCGGGGTTCTGTTGCAGCACCTGCAACGAGCCTCGGGCCTGGGGTTTGGGGTGTTGGGGGGCACCTGTGGGGCCTTCTTTCCAGTTCCTTGTCCCGGCGCTGAGGCTGGGGGATGGATCCGTCCCGCTCCTCTGCCCCCTGGGCATCCTCAGCCGTGTGTACCTTCGCAGGCCAACAAGACCCCGCTGCGGGCCCTCGACCCCATCCGCCTCAGCGGCATGAACTGCAGCCCTGACTTCACCCCCTCCTTCGCCAACCTCGGCCGGCCCGTCATGGGCAACCGGGGCCTGGTGAGTGTCCCCTCCCTTCACCCGCCCCGTGTGCGTCCCCTTCGGCCTCTCCGTGATGATCCAACCTTCGAGCCGCTGTGTCTGGGCCACTGATGTCCCTGATGGAACTGAGGATCTGAGCAGGCAGAGGGGGACACCCCGGGATCCCCCCCACGGCCCGGTCCCTGAGCAAAGAGCTGAGTTTCTTCTCCCCCGTGTTAGCCCTCAGGGTTGGGTCCCCGCCGCTCCCAGCAGAGCCAGAGGAAGGAGCCACGCAAAATCATTGCCACTGTGTCCCTCAACGAGGACGTCAAGCTGAACAAGGCTGAGAAGGCCTGGAAACCCAGCAGCAAGCGTGCCTCCGAGGAGGAGGATCCCGAGAACATCAAGACGCAGGTAGGAGCTGGGTCACCGGTGGGCGATGGGAGGGCAGGGGCAGGGGGGACATGTCCCTCACTCTTTCTGACCCCACTGTCCTCGCAGGAACTGCTCCGCCGCGTCCGCAGCATCCTCAACAAGCTGACACCCCAGATGTTCCAGCAGCTGATGAAGCAGGTGATGGAGTTGTCCATCGACACGGAGGAGCGGCTCAAGGGTGTCATCGACCTCGTCTTCGAGAAGGCCATCTCGGAGCCAAACTTCTCTGTTGCCTATGCTAACATGTGCCGTTGCCTTATGGGGGTGAGCAGGAGCTGGGGAGGAGGGTTGTCCAGGAGCTCAGCAGGGTACGGGTCCTTCCACATGGGGTGGGGACACTGGGGACTGTGGATGGAGGACCAAGTCCAGAGTCTTAGCAGGGCATTACCGGGCCGGGGGGTGGCTTTTCCCTGGTTTGAATAGTGCCTGGGCCAGCTTTTGGGGGACACCCGCCTCACACTCCTCGCCTGGGGGTTACACCTCTCCCTGCAGCTCAAAGTGCCCACAACAGACAAGCCCACGGTGACTGTGAACTTCCGCAAGCTGCTGCTCAACCGCTGCCAGAAGGAGTTTGAGAAGGACAAGGACGACGACGAGATCTTTGAGAAGCGGCAGAAGGAGATGGACGATGCCAGCGCTGTGAGTTGGGGTGGGAAGGCTGGGGCTGGGGGCTGGGGTGGGACATCCTCGGGGTGGCCCTAGCTCTCAGCTGCCCTGCTGTCCCCTCCTTACAGCCTGAGGAGAAGGCCCGCATGAAGGATGAGCTGGAGGAGGCGCGGGACAAGGCCCGACGGCGGTCCCTGGGCAACATCAAGTTCATCGGAGAGCTCTTCAAACTGAAGATGTTGACAGAGGCCATCATGCATGACTGTGTGGTGAAGCTGCTCAAAAACCACGATGAGGAGTCTCTGGAGTGCCTTTGCCGCCTGCTCACCACCATCGGCAAGGACTTGGACTTTGAGAAGGCCAAGGTACCCCTTGCCCTGCCCTGCCCTTGTCCTGCCCTTGCCCTTGGGAGGGAAGTGACCCTGACTCTGTCCCTCTATAGCCCAGGATGGACCAGTACTTCAACCAGATGGAGAAGATCATCAAAGAGAAGAAGACATCATCACGAATCCGTTTCATGCTGCAGGATGTGATTGACCTCAGACGGGTAAGATGCATGGCCTGCTGTTGCCTGGGGACTGTCCTCTGTCCCCTGCCTGGTCCTGTGGACCTGCCGGCCCATGTCCTCTGGGTGCCAGCAGTCCCTGTGTCCCTGGGAGGGGAGAGCTGGGTACGTAAGTGGTGGCCAGCCCCAGAGACGCCATGCTAGCCCACGGGCCTTGGCTAGCATGGTAGCAGCAGTGGGCACACAGTAACCGGCAGCTGTTTAATGCAGGGGGGCTCCAGGAACTGAGCCCTTTTGTGCCAAAAGCCGCCACAGCACCCGGGGAGCTGCAAGGGCTGAGGTTGGGGGCAGCCTGAGTCTTTGGGGGTGGGAATGTCTGTGCCTCCCTCCTCCAGCCAGCTCAGTGCCCCCCTCCCCTGCCCTCTGCAGAATAGCTGGGTGCCGCGGCGAGGAGACCAGGGCCCCAAAACCATCGACCAGATCCACAAGGAAGCAGAGATGGAGGAGCATCGAGAACACATCAAAGTACAGCAGCTCATGTCAAAGGACAAGAGGAGAGGACCCCCTGGGCCATCCTCCAGCGGTGAGTGCCCGGCCGTGGGGGCGCCGGGGGCTGACGGAGGGGGGTTGCTCCTGCTGGCCACCCCTCGAGGCCGGGCTGTGCCTTACTCCTGTCCCCCTTGTGCCCAGGGCGCGGGAGCCTGGTGGCAGATGATGGCTGGAACACGGTGCCCATCAGCAAGGGCAACCGGCCCATCGACACCAGCCGGCTAACGAAGATCACCAAGGTGAGGCCAGGGGTGCCATGTGGGCAACCGATCCGGCTCTGCCCGGCCTGCACCCCTTCTTTGTGAGGGGTTCAGGGCTGATTCTGTCTCTCTGCCTCCAGCCTGGATCCATCGACTCCAACAACCAGCTCTTTGCACCAGGGGGGCGGCTGAGCTGGGGCAAGGGTAGCAGCGGAGGGTCCGGGGCGAAGCCTGCAGACTCAGGTGGGCGGCGTGGGGCTGGCTGGGGAGGGGGGATCCTTCCCCCCGCTGGATCCTCGGACTGGGGAGGTGCCGAGCTCTGAGATTCCCCTCTTTTCACGCCCAGCATCTGATTCAGGGCGACCGGCCACGAGCACCTTGAACCGCTTCTCAGCGCTCCAGCAGTCGACCCCGGCCGAGAGCCCCGAGTCCCGGCGCGTGGTGCAGAGGTGAGGGGCTGGCCCTGCCCTGGGGCGAGGAACCCCCCACATCGGGCAGCACTTGGTCAATGTGTTGGTGAATGTGTGGCGTCTGGGCTGGAATAATTCCCTGTGGCAGGACTGGGGGCTTGGGGTGTATGGGAGTCCTTGTGGCAAAGAAAGCTGATCCCAGCCTGGGCTTCCTCCCACCATTTGGCACTTGGGGGAGGGGGGGGGCACAGCTGGGTCTGGTTTGGAGGTCCTGGGACCAAAGGGACATTGATGGGCTGGAGCTTGAGGTCCCCAAGGGGAGCTGGAGTTGAGTTTGCTCAGGAGAAGAGGAAAACAAAGGGGGATCTCGCTGCCATCTGCGGTGGGGAGGTGTGGGCAGGATGGGGTCAGACTCTGCGAAGCTGTGCCAAAGGCTGAGGGCATGAGCTGGAACAGGGGAGAAATGGAAAAGTGTTTTCCCCTGAGGGTGGTCAATGGCTAAAAAGCCCTGGAAAGGGCTGGGAATGGAGTTGGGACAGCTTTTGGCTTGCAAACCTCCACAGCCTGGGGTCAGGGAGGGTGGTGATGGGCTCTTCACGCTGTGTCTCCTCCCGCCCAGGAGCAGCTCCAGCCGCGACAGGTCGGAGAAGGCCGGGGACAGAGGGGAGCGGGAGTCGCGTTCGGAGAAGGGCAGCGACCGCCTGGAGCGTCCCGACCGGGGGGAGCGGGCAGAGAGGAACAGGTCTGCCCTCACCAAGAGGAGCTTCAGCAAAGAGACGGAGGACAGGAGCCGGGAGCGGGAGAAGCAGGGCGGCCCCGAGGCCGTGCGGAAGGCTGCTAGCATGTCGGAGGAGCGGGACAGGAGCCGGGAGAGCGGTGAGCTGGGGAGGAGCGGCAACCCAGGCGGGGGCTGCACGCGGCCTGGGGGGTCGCCGTGCCTGATCCCCGCTCTCTCTTTGCAGTCAAGCAAGAGCCAGCACCTCCTGCAGCGTCCCCCAAACCCGCCCTCTCAGAAGAGGAACTGGAGAAGAAATCCAAGGCAATCATAGAGGAATACCTGCACATCAATGACATGAAGGTGGGAGCAGGGGGTTGGCCACACGGCTCCCATAGCACCCCATCCACAGTGCCTGGGTGAGGAAGGGGAGGCTGGGGCTGGCTGTGGGGCAGCGCTGACCTCCCTTTTCCCCACAGGAGGCCCTGCAGTGCGTGCAGGAGCTGGGCAGCCCCTCCTCGCTCTACATCTTCGTGCAGAATGGCATCGAGTCCACGCTGGAGAGGAGCACCATCTCCCGCGAGCACATGGGGGTCCTGCTGTGCCAGCTGGTGAAGGCGGGCACGCTCTCCAAGGAGCAGTACTACAAAGGGTGAGGGGCCCGGGGCAACCTGGCCACAGGCTGGTGTTTGCCCGCCTTTGGATTCAGCTCTACCTCGAGTGGGGCTCACTGAGACCTCCCGAAGCCATAGAGTGGTTTGGGTTGGAAGGGACCTTAGAGACCACCCAGTGCCACCCCCTGCCCTGGGCAGGGACACTTCCCATCAGACCAGGTTGCTCAAAGCCTCATCCAGTCTGGTCCGGGAGGACATGGGGGGCTGCTGGATCCCAATGCCCCTCCCCCCCTTCCTCTGCCCCCCAGGCTGCGGGAGATCCTGGAGATCGCAGAAGACATGGAGATCGACATCCCCCACATCTGGCTGTACCTGGCCGAGCTCATCACCCCCATCCTGCAAGAGGAAGGCATCCCCATGGAGGAGCTGTTCAGGTGAGGACTGTGCCCCTCCGCAGGGGTCCTGGGGGGGTGCTGGGGAGGCTCCTGGGGACAGGCATCTCAACCAGGTCTCTGGTGCCCCATAGGGAGATAACGAAGCCCCTGGTGCCCATCGGGAAGGCCACCACGCTGCTGGTTGAGGTGCTGGGCTTGTTGTGCAAGGGCATGGTAAGTGTGTGGGGCTCGAGTCACTGCTGGCCATCACCCTGGGGCCGGTGGCTTGCTCACGGGGGGCAGGTTGGCATGTGGGGATTGAACCCCTCTGCCACCGGAGGGGACATCCCTTGCTGTGTCTGGACATCCCTCTGGGTTGGGGGGGGGGCGGCGTGGCCAAGCCGCAGCGTCCCCCTCCCTGGATTTGGAGAGCGTGGGGTGCTGATGCCGGCTGTCTGTCCCTCTGTCCCTCCTGCAGAGCCAGAAGACCGCGGGCAAGCTGTGGCGGGACGGGGGCCTGAGCTGGAAGGAATTCCTGCCCGAGGACCAGGATGTCAATAAATTTGTCACGGAGCAGGTGGGAACTCAGGGCTGGCTAGGGGCAGAGTGGGGCGTCCTGGGGGGGCCCTGTGTCCCCTTGGGCTGCCCCTAACATCTCGTCTCCACTCTCCCCGCCCCAGAAACTGGAGTACACGATGGGGGACAGCTCGGACACGCCGAGCCGCAAGGAGCTGACCTCGGAGGAGCTGTGCAAGCAAATTGACAAACTGCTGAAGGAGAACCCCAACAACCAAAGAATATACGACTGGATCGAGGTGAGGGTGTGGGCCTAGAGGGTCTCTGGGGGGGGAGGGCTGTTTCCCGGCTCCCCCTCCCCACCTCACAGTCCCTCTGCCCTCCTTCCTGCAGGCCAACCTGAGCGAGCAGCAGGTCTCGTCCAACACCTTTATCAGGGCCCTGATGACATCCGTCTGCCACTCGGCTATCATCTGTGAGTAGTGGGGTGAGGTGGGGGGGTTCCCCCTGCCTATGCTGGCCCCCCCTCCCCATCTCACACCCTGTCTCCCACAGTCGAGAACCCCTACCGCGTGGACGCCCTGGTCATCCGCAACCAGGCCAAGCTGCTGCAGAAGTACCTGCGGGACGAGCAGAAGGAGCTCCAGGCCCTCTACGCCCTGCAAGCCTTGGTGGTGAAGTTGGACCAGCCTCCCAGTGAGTGTTGCGGGGACGGGGGGTGCTGAGGAAGGGGGCGGAGGGGGTGTCAGATGCATCCCCCACCCCAGCAGGGTGGCTGGTGGCTGGGAAATGGCAGGGATCCCCTTTTCCCCGCTTCCCAGACCTGCTGCGGATGTTCTTTGACGCCCTGTACGACGAGGACGTCATCAAGGAGGAGGCTTTCTACAAGTGGGAGTCCAGCAAGGACCCGGCCGAGCAGCAGGGCAAGGGGGTGGCCCTCAAATCCGTCACGGCCTTCTTCACCTGGCTGCGGGAAGCTGAGGATGAGTCGGACAACAACTGAGCAGCCGTGAGGAGGAGGAGGAGGAGGAAGGGGGCAGAGAGGGAGCGGGGCACCCTGGGGAGCTACTCCATCCCCTCCCACCCCCCCGGTCCCCCTGGACTTGCTGATGCCGGGGCCGAGGGACCTGCTGTGCCCCCCGCAGCAGCCCCCCCTCTCTCTCTGTTCCGTTCTCCTCCTCTCCCTCCTCCCCCCGTCCCGGTTCTGTACTGGTTTGTCACCACGGTAATAAACGGATGCTGACGGAGGCGGCTGTCGCGGTGGGTCCCCTGGGGGCCCTTCTCCCCCCGCCAGTCTCTGGGAGCACCCCCGGACTCGTGTCATGGGGAGGGGGGATGGGATGGGGACGTTATCTCTCCCCTCCTCTCCCCCCTTCTCTTCCTCCTCCCCACTTCTTGCTGAAATATAGAGAGATTATATATATATAAACTTATTAAATTTGGTTTGGGGACAGGAGCGTGATTTCTCCCCCTCCCCTGTCCTCTCTCTATTCCTCCATCACTGCCTGGACCCCTCCCCCCCCCTCCCCCCCCATGGTTTTTTATTTTAAATATAAA